GGGCTTGAAGAACCACGGCAACACCTGTTTCATGAACGCCGTGGTGCAGTGTCTCAGCAACACCGACCTGCTGGCCGAGTTCCTGGCGCTGGGGCGCTACCGGGCGGCGCCGGGCCGCGCCGAGGTCACCGAGCACCTGGCGGCGCTAGTGCGCGCGCTCTGGACGCGCGAGTACACGCCCCAACTTTCCGCCGAGTTCAAGGTAGGCAGCGCGCCCTCCTCCCGCCGGGGCCGCGGGGCCGAAGCGCGCGCCGCATCTGCAAAGGGTCTTCTGGGGGCCCTCTTCAGATGGCACCTCGCGCCGCCGTTCGCCTCACGCCTTTGTTTCGAGGTGATATTTTGCGCTATCGCCTGCAAACGTCTTCTCTGAATTTCTCCCAGGTGTTTTTTTTTGGGGGGGGGTGGTGGTGGCGGGGGAGTCGTTTTGAGGGATTCGGCATTTTTGCATTCAACAAACTTCGGTTGAAGTACTGAAGGCCTTTGGGTCTTTCTAGCGCCACGGGCACTTTGCAGTCTGCAGGCGTGTGGTGTGGGAGGCCTGACTCCCAAGGCCACGGCCTCGGAGGAAGGAGGAGGGGGACGCTGGCGTTGAGATCTGAATGAGAAGCTCGCAGCCGGGTCACGGCGCCAGGAGTACCCGGGGAGAGGGAACAGAGAGCGCCGGAGCCACAGGCCTGGGGGCGCGAAAAGAAAACTAGTGGCCTGGGGGCGTGGATGAGGTTGGTCAGATCCTGCAAGGTCTTAGAGGCAGTGGTAAGGAGTTTGGGTTTTATTCTTGAACCCAGTGGAGGCTGAGATCCCGTGCGCCGGATACTGTGCTGAGTGGCCCGGGGAGGGGGGCAGTGGGTGTGCTCTGTTGGAATTGGCATCCTTTTCTTCAGTGCACGTTAAATCGCCCACCATGCCTTGGTTTGGGGTTGCATTCACTGGCCCCAGGATCACCGTCTACTTACCCTGCGCTGTAGGGTCACGAAGCGCTGGAAGTTATGTATGTCACATCCCCCGGGGTTAAGCGGTGTGTTTGGGATCCCAGCTGGATTACAGAGTTCCCGATAATTGATGCGCATGACTTGCTTCCTGCTACAAAACCACAGCTCTGGGCGGAGAGCTGAAGCTCCCCATAGACTAGGGGTTGTTCTTGGGGGAGGGGAACCTGTCAGTGTTCATTCCACAGGCATCACCGCTCTTGAGTTTCAGCCCGAAAGAGCAGTCCTTGCCATGTGACCCACAGGGTGTCAGCCTCCCCTTTCCTCTCTCCCGCTTCCGCTACTAAAGCACCGTTCTGCAGGAGTTAGTGGGTCGACCGGGTGTCGTTAATATTTCCTTTTGGCAGCATCCGCCTTCTCAATAATGAGGCAGTACGGTAGTTCCCTCTTACGCTTGGGGGATACATCCCAAGACCCCCAGTGGGTGCCTGAAACCATAGATAAATACCAAGCCCTACCTAATAACTATGTTTCTTTCTACACACACGTACGTACCTACGGTAAAGCTTACTTTATAAGTCAGGTACTGGAGGAGATGCACAGCAGTAACTGACCATAAAAAAAGAACAGTTATAACAATATACTGTAATAAAAGCTGTGGGAATGTGGTGTCTCTCTCTGCAAATATTATATGCTGTACTCATCCTTCTGGCGAGGATGCGAGGTGATAAAATGCCTAGGTGATGAGGCCAGGAGAGGCGAGGGATGTAGGCGTTGACACACAGTTGATCTTCTGACCTAAGTCAGGAGGATCGTCTGCTTCCCTACAAGGTTTGACCGCGAGTACCTGAAACCACAGAAAACTTAGGATGTGGGGGACCACTGTAGGGTGTAGTGGTTAAGAGCAAGGTCCCTGGAACTCCATGACCTCGAGCAAGTTACCAAATCCCACTGTGCCTCAACTTTCCTCCTCTGTGAAATGGGATGGCAGCGGTACCTACCTTATTATCAGATCATTGGGAGGATTCATTGAGTTCTCTGCACAGCGCTTACAACAGTGCCTGACCCCTGGGAAGCTTTTGTCATTCCTACCATTCAGCCTGCTCACCTACAGAGACCAGGGGGAGGGAGGGAGGGAGGTAATGTTTGCAGACCTTTCCTCTTGCCAGGTGCATTCTCATGCAAGTCCTGCCCCAGTGGGAGAGACTGGAGTAGCTTGAAAAAAATCTTGCAAATTAGTAACCGCTCTCAGTGACTCACTAGGATTTCCTGTCTCACCCCTGCTCTCGAATCCCCAAGACCTGGACGCTCCCTGGGAGCCCCGGGGGACTGGAGGATAGTCAGGTTGTTAATTGTTAATGAGGGTGATGTCATCCGAGGTTTCCTGGGACTTTTTGGGTAGCCAAAAAGAGCTTGGATGGAGCAGAGGAGGCCAGCATCTGGGCTTTCAATAAACCCTGCTGATGCAAATCTAGGTGGGCTCCTCTTATTTTATAGATGACGAAACATCCCTTCACCCAACAAATATTTCTGGAGCGTCCCAACACTCTCCCAGGAACAAGGAACGCATGAGAAGCCCTGAGTGCAAAACCTCCTGGGGCCACTTTCTAGGAGTTCCCTGTCCAGCGGGAGAGGTGGGTGTTAATGAAATGATCACACAGGCACGTGATCGGAGCTGATGACAAGTGCTGGAAAATCAAAATACAAGGCATTCACAGCAGTTCCGGCAGGAGCAGGTGATGGATGCGGGGAACGTGGGAGGGGGTGTCCCAGGAGAAGCAACCTTCAGGAGAGGTCAAGTAAGGACAGGGGAGGGTGGGGATGCGCATTTCCTGCCGTTCACTGATCGCCAGGATCGCCAATCACCAGGGCAGGTGGAGCTGGGGATTAAAAACGGAAGGGGCTCTGGGGTTGCTCAGTCGGTTAAGCCTCTGCCTTTGGCTCAGGTCATGATCCTGGGCTCCTGGGATCCAGCCCCTCATGGGGTTCCCTGATCAGTGGCGAGTCTGCTTCTACCTCTCCCACCCGCCACCTCATGCTCGCTTCCTCTCTATCAAATAAATAAAATCTTTTAAATAATTAATTAATTAATGGGAGCCTCTGTGCCTGGGCAGAGGGACTGGAGAATTGTTTGGGGACAAGCCACAGGTTTTGTCAAGGAATTGGGTCTTTTTTTTTTTAATTATTTATTTATTTATTTGAGAGAGAGAATGAGAGAGAGAGAGCACATGAGAGGGGGGAGGGTCAGAGGGAGAAGCAGACTCCCCGC